ATTCTCGATAGAAATAACATATTCATGGTTATACTTATATCATAATTAGTTTTCATATATTGTTTTAAAATCAAAATCAAAACCATTATTTGTTTTTTATATATATTTTTAAGATGTCTTTAATAATTTATTTAATTATATTTTTAAATCACCTTTTTAAATGCAATTTCTTAAAAATCGATTATAACTTAAATAATTAATGAAATCATAAAAGAATACCATATAAATTAATAAGGAACATCCATAAATAGAAAGGGCTGAAATTTTGTATAATTACCAAATTGATAGTTAAAGGGAGTGATATAGCTTATTCCTCAGATTACTACTGTGAGGAGTACATATTATATACCCCTATGTCATTTCGATAACGTTCTTCCTTGTTTACTTTGGTTATTGGGGGTTGGAGACCACAGGAGGTACAAACAATGAAAAAAAAATATAATTAAACAATCCCTTGGCGAAATATCCTAAAACTTTAACAATTTCATGATAATATTTGATTGAGTACTAATTTATATGTATATTATTTATTATGTATAACCTTGAAGAAGTTCCCAAGGCGGTGACCCAGGCTTGCAACATTCCTCTCATGAAAATGTAAGGATTTTTTCTGGTCAAACCAAAATACAATAAAGGTAAAACTATCAAAGCATGTATGGCCAGACCGGTTATAACGGTTACCATATACATTCCCAACTGTTCCACTAATTGTGCTATGTTTTCAATGGACAGAATTTTACCGGCTATCAAACACATAATACCTAATGGTGAGTACCTATTAACCAATATATATAGAATAATTTAAATATGCTTTTGAACAATTTTAAATATAATTTTGATTATCTTTATTTCTTTTAAATATTTTTTAAGTTTAAATATTTTTTAAGTTTAAATATTGTACATAATATATATATATTTTTTTACTTACCACATAATCAAGTAAACGAGTCTCATGATGATATCATTTAACACGTTAACAAATTCTATCATGATGCCAGCCTTTTCTCCCATCTGTCCTACTATTATACCGAAAGCGGTTGAAAATGTTATGATTCCTTGAAAACAAACACATATGGAATAGAACAGGTTAATACTTTAATCGTAAAATTTTTTATTAAAGGCATACTAAACTCAAAAAAAAAATCAAGAAATATATACGCATTTTACTTAAACCTATTAATCTTTTTAGTATCGAACTTTACCCTCTCCGCACTTATAAAATGAAACGGACCAATCAAATGGGACCACACGCAATCCTTTTGTTGGATTGTTCCAAAATTTTAAATCGGACCGGATCTGGCTCGCAGGTCGGCATATTAATTTTATTAAAATGTTTTGTTTTCCTAATTTATTTTCCTCCAGCGTTTATAATTTATCCGCTTTCGTTTGAAATATAGTATACTTTTTTTTTCAATATAGTCCAATAAAAAAAACAAAATTTGGATCAATTGGTCTTATAATAAAATTTTGAAAAATAATGGATATGTAACTACGATTGGATGTGTCCTACTAAAGTTTTTTTTTCTCTAATCTGGCCTGATTTAAAACAAATAAGTGGGATGCATGTCTCTCTAATAAATAACTGTATTTCAAGGACATAAGGACATAGATAATCAAGTATAAATAAAAATTTATATCTCAGCGAGGGATATAACCTAAAACATTCATATTGTTATTGTATTTCAATCCCCTCTGTAAAACAACGTGAGAGTTTGAATGATTCGATGCGTTTCCTGACAAAATTGGAAGAGTGTGTGAAGGGTTGCTCGCGATAACTTGAGGAGTATTGACTGTTACATTTTTATAGACCGTGCCTATACTTTGAAAACAGGATTTGATCAAGTTTTCGGGAAACATATTTCTATCGAAAATAGAAAATAGGAAGGATTAAAATATAAATATAGCAATGGATGCGACTTTATACACATTTTGGTCCACTAAAGTTATCATATATTTATTTTCCCCTTTTTCTTTTATTAATTTATACTTCGATATTCTCTGTAAAGCATTATAAAAAAAACACAAATCAAAAACTATGTAAATAATAATAGATATATATATATTATAATAATAATAGGCATATATATATTATTTTAAAGTATCGCAATTATATATGGATTCACAAAAAAATGTATAAGATTAGAACTCAACCGATACTAAATGTCAAACATTAATGTTGGAAGATTCTTGACAAAATTCTTTAAATTTAAG